CAGAAACGTCTGAATATTCTCCAGCTCTAACTTCCTGAGAGATCGCTTCAGTGTCTCTACGAATCTTTCCGCTTGCCCGTTTGATTGCGGGTGGTACGGTGCGGTGAAGACCTGTCGGATGCCCCGGCTCCGGCAGAAGTTTCGGATCGACGAGGACTGAGACTGTGTTCCATTGTCGGTCACGAGGGTAAGAGGGTAAAAACGTCCCCGAAAACCTCCTGGCATTCAGAGGGAGTGATTCGTTTGAGTTTCGCGACCTCCGACCATTTGGAATATGAGTCGACGATTACTAGGAAGTAGTTCCCGTGCGTCGGTCCCGCTACGTCTGCATGAACTCTTTCCCATGCTAGACTGGGGGCTTTCCAAGGAGCCAGCGGGATCTTGACGGAGAGTTTACCCGCCGATTGACAGTCCTCGCATTCTTGTACGAGACACTGGATCTCTGAGTCCAGGCCCGGCCAGTACACGTAGCTTCTCGCGAGAGCTTTCATCTTATTGATCCCTGTGTCGTCGTCACACGGTGGTGTAGATGGACGTCTGACGATTGAGGTGTAAGACGGATGTCGGAGGTGTGAGATGGATGTCGGAGGTGTAAGATGGATGTCGGAGGTGTAGGATGTAGACAGTGTGTGACGAGTAGTCGGAGAGGACGGTCGCACCGCGACTAGAGGTCGGCTGTGGCGGTCCCTAACCTCACGACAATCCCGAGCGAAATGCCCCGGAAGATTGCATTTGTAGCAAGTCATTGGCCTTCTCCCCGACGGCGCGCCGCCATCGGTGTCGTCTGCTCCGCTCTTGGATATGACGTTCGCTCGGCGGTTCCCCTCGGTCTCGTGGCTGTCACGCCTACCTCGGTTCCCATCGATGCCGGCACCGGTTGTCGCCAATCACTCGCCCCTGCAACCCCTCCGTACTGCGGAGCTCTGCCCTGCATAGCGGAGGCTTTCGGTTGGTAGTAGTTGTGAAGAAATAGGCTGTCCGGAAAACTTCTGTGAGAGCCGTTTCGAATGCATCGCGCCTGAATGTCAAACCCTCACTCTCTCCAGAATAAATAATAGAGTCTGCCGTGATCTCCCCGGCAGTCCGGAGGTGACGATCTCAAAATCACAGTTTTTTTTCCTTATCCAGAAATACGAAACTGACCGATATCCGAACTCAGTTTTCCGTTTAATCAACATGGTGCCGCGATCCGGATTAGAAGCCCGGAAAACAAGTGTGTGAAGTTTTCCGACGAAACGTGCTGCTGTGGACTACAGAGGGCTGATTCATCGCGATGGAGGGAACAGCCTCAGCCGACTCACCGTCCAACAATCAAACGGGGCTAGCGAAACCGCGCAATGAGGAAGCCATCGAAAAAGTGTTGAGACGACTTCGATATGACCGAACTGTGCTGCGAAATCGAATTGAGGCTGAGATCGCATCGATCAAAGATGCCGATTCGGGTGAACTGCAGTTTCCGATCTATCGGGGCCCCACGATTGTCTTGGCACTCATCGAAGAACTCAAGGCGAAGGTTAGCTCATGTGATGAAGAGATATGGGACCTGATCGCCGAAGAGGACCAGCAAGAGAAGGAGCTGGCGGAAGCGTCTCAGTTCGATCTGGACGTGTCAGAGTTCATCGCTGAAATTGCCGCGTGCTTGCCTCAGGAGAGCGAGGAAAACGAGGCCGAAACCTTTTTATCGACCCCTTGCGCAAAAAGACGGGTTCGTTTCGGGTCGATTCTCAGTCAAACTCCCGCTCCCGCAGAGCTCAGAAATGCTACAACGGAGGTGCGCTCGACCGCTGAGCGGGCTCTTCGACTCAGCCAGCCGCTCAACAGAATCCAACGAGTGTCGCTGAAACGCCGTCGGATGCTCTCCGGTTTCCGCTATCTTCGATCGCCAGACTGCCGCGGGAGTTAGACATTCCACCCGAGACCTTCACTGGCGATCGCCTGAAATATCGGTCGTTCATGACCCAATTTCAATGCTTCGTGAACAGACGACAGGATGCTACGCCGATCGAGAAACTTATGATCCTCCGCAGGTATCTTCGTGACGAGCCGGAACAGATTGTGGAGGCGTTGGAGCTGACCGACTCAAATTACGAGGTGGCATTAACGCTGCTCAAGGACAATTACTCTCGAATTGAAACCGAAACTCACAAAATCCTTGCCGACCTACGCAACCTGCCGCGGATCACGAAACCTTACGATTTCACGTGTCTCCGAAAGTTCCTGACGCTGATCCAAGGACTTACGGCGATCCTGTCCGCCAATGGGGTTCCACTGGCAAACTACGCTCTGACTCTGAAGTCCTCGATGGAAGCTGCGATGCCACCCCGTATGCGACAAGATCTGAAGGACGAGCGCCGGATGGAGCAGAGATTCTCTCGTGAGCCACAACGGGAAGCTCGTGCTGACTCTCCCGAGAATAGCGTCGAACAGACCGTCTCCGATGTTGAGAAAATGATATGATTCTTGAGACGACGCGTGAAGGATTCAGAGGACAACAGGTTCCTGGACGCTGCTGCGGCTCCAGCTGAGTCCGAGGACGTACTAGATGTTAGGTTCCTGCTGCTAGCACAGTGGACCGAGGGTGGTATACTGGCCACTGAGACTTTACGGAATGACTGATACGAAAGAAACACACACGCTTGCAGTGGTGTTCAATCAGGGGCAGAGCACCTAGGTCTGCGTGATCTTCTCGGTACTCAGCCAGCTTTATTGGTGCATATATATAGGTATGGAAAACCCTCACCCATCTGGATAAGTTCCAGGTATTGTGAAATATAATTGCTCTGCCAATTATAATTTCTGGAGTTTTGCTTAATTACAAGAACAAAAGAACTTGCTACGCAATAGCCTTGAGATTCTGTGACGGACCGGGGAAAACTTAAAACTTGGTGCCAAACTGGCTCCATTCCAAACACCAGATCGCCGGGAGAAACATCAAGATCGCCGATACAGTTCAACAGTCATCGCCACCTCTCAAGACCCTGTTTTGTGAGAGGGAATCAGCGATATATTCTAACTTATAAGAAGTAATTCAAGGATTGTGTGAAGGAGAATTAGGTTGTGATACATAGGTAAACGCGAGCGTTTCCGGGGGGTGTGTGAAGAAATAGGCTGTCCGGAAAACTTCTGTAAGAGCCGTTTTGAATCCTTCGCGCCTGAATGTCAAACCCTCACCCTCTCCAGAATAAACAATAGAGTCTGCCGTGATCTCCCCGGCAGTCCGGCGGTGACGATCTCGGAATCACAGTTTTTTTTCCTTATCCAAAACTACGAAACTGACCGATATCCGAACCCAGTTTCCCGTTTAATCAACAGTAGTACGTTTCCGGTCTTCCCCTCGCTTGGGTTGGGTACCCGCGGTTGTCCCTCGTGGTCTCTCAACTCCAGCGAGCAGATCATGAACGAATACTCCGGGAGCAACCCCGTGAGTCCGTGATTCTCTTCAGCTCGATGTTCAGCCCTCGTCCTAAATTTTCCATGCGCCGCGCGTACATCTCCACATCTTCGCCCCGGGCCTGAGTGCCCCTGTAGGATTCGTCGACCAACTCTCTCTGTCTCTCCTTCGGAATGTGGGCCTCCTCGAACGCCGCCTGCCATTCTTCGAACGTCTCACACTCTATCTCGTGATCCAAGTGGCAATATCGCGCCGCCCCTGACATCTTAGCGAAAAGTACGCTCTCGGCGTAGGGTTGGGTCTATCTGCATACCCGTCTTGCCCCGTTCAACTCTTTCAACCATGCATCAGTCACTGCCACTGTACCTCCAGAGAATGGTCGAAGATAAGCGGCCGGATCCATCTGTCTACTCCACGTGATCGGCATCTCCTCCTGTGCCATCTTGATTCTCAGTTCACTCTTCCACACACTCAAGTTTCCAGTCACCCCAGCAGACACGAGTCTCGCACGAGGCCCCTCACTATAGTTCAATTTTCCCCTCTGCACGCTGCTCAATCCCACCGCTGCTATAATAAGAACGTTTGCGGACTTGGCTGGGATAACAGCTAGCTCAGGGAAAACATTATATTGGGCGAAACGGTCACAGTTTATTCTTCCTCCACGAATCTTGGCGCTCGATCGGTCGCCTCGACCGTTCTCGTGCGTACACTTCGCTCGCTTCTCACAGACTGACTTGGCCGACACTTGCCCCCCCCCCCCCTTGGATGATCTGAGCGTACAGACGCGCGCGACGTTCAACGTGCTACCGCGACATCTCCGGTTCATTACAGACGGTTCTATTCGGAATGGTTCATTGAGTGCATAGCTACATCGACTGTAATATGACCACATCGAACGACTTAGAGAGAGTGGGTTCGATGACCTAACACATATCATGAATATGAATAGATTCATATCCAAATATTGTGCATTTTTGTTCATGAATCCATTCCTATCCATATCCATGAATTTGAATTCGCCCAGCACTGTCCTTAAGTAAGCCTCAGATTGAGAGAGGATTTCGAGGGAGGATCCGAGGTTATCATTCGATCAGGGATATCGGAGGCTGTGACAGGGAGTCGCGAACATTTGGTTTGAAGCTGATAATCGGAAATCCCAAGATCTTGATCGCATGTTAGTCTCGATGTTTAATGCCGAGACTGAAGCCTAAATTCACGCACTTCATTGCTTGATTACTAACAGTACTGAGCGACGGCTTAGATAAGAAATTCTCAAGCAGAGCTTGGAGAGTGAGAATCAGCACCATGTCTGGAAGTCGACATAACGTTTCTTCTAGCCTCACGCGGAGATGGCTTAGTAAGGCTGCTCTTAGTCAACGTACGTGGCCCGACATCCTTCATGCACCTCAGGACTGTCGATGGCGAAGTTTGTGCAACTTAAGCTTGCCCGAACATACATCTTCTTGAAGACGACGCTCATTGGGATACTACATTGTCTTACGCGTCGGATACGTGTCGACCAGGTCAAATTCGGACGCTCTTCGCCATCATATTGACGACTTGATTCCCATCCGATCCCAAGGGCATTCGGGAAAACCACAAGGATTCTATGGCCGATGATATCCTGAACCGTGTTCGCCGTTTGCGCCAGGACCCTGAGCTAGCCTTCGTTCCTGAGATCTACAACGAAGCATTGGTTTCGATTGAGGATCTTTGTTTGGCTATCGCCAACAAATCGTTGGTTCAGCTGGGTATGCATGCCCCGGATCGAAGTGCTCTGGATACTCAAGATCGCGATTTAGTTCGAGGAAGCGATTTAGATGTGGGAGCTTTGGCCGAATTTGTCGAAACCAATGTTCCACTTCTGCTACCAGAACAACTGACCGCTTACAAAACTATCATGAGTGCGATCGCGAATCGTACCGGTGGTCTGTTTTTCCTCGACGCACCCGGCGGCACCGGCAAGACTTTCCTGATATCTCTAATTTTGGCGACCATCCGTTCACGAAAGCACATCGCGTCGGCGATCGCATCTTCTGGAATCGCCGCCGCACTTCTCGATGGTGGTCGAACGGCTCACTCCGCTCTGAAGCTGCCATTGAATGTGCAAACGATCGAGATGCCCACATGCAATCTTACCAAAAATTCCGGCATGGGTACCGTTCTGAGAACGTGTCGAATCATAATTTGGGATGAATGCAAAATGGCCCACAAGAAGTCCTTGGAAGCCCTCGATCGGTCATTGCGAGATTTTAGAGACTGCCAGGTCCCTTTTGGAGGAGCGCTGATCATGTTGTCCGGTGACTCCCGACAGACCCTGCCCGTCATACCACGCGGGACACGTGCCGATGAAATCAATGCCTGCCTGAAGCAATCGACTCTCTGGCGACACGTTCAGAAATTGACGCTCACGACGAATATGAGGGTTCAGCTTCGGCACGACACGACCGCTGCACGCTTCGCGGCTCAATTACTGGACATTAGCTCTGGGAGGATGCCCATCGACAGATCTTCACAAAGCATAACTTTGCCCTCGGATTTCTGCACGATGTGCTCGACGAAAGAACGTTTGATCCAGAGCGTCCTCCCGGACATAGAACGGAATTTCAGAAACCGTCAGTGGCTGAGTAAGCGAGCGATCCTGGCCGCCAAGAGCTATGACGTGAACGCCATGAATCTCAGCATTAAGAACACAATACCCGGCGAAGCTTAGACGTACAAGTCCATTCACGAACTCCAGAGGCTGTCCCTCGAGTTTTAGGCGATCGTCTTTCCCCAGACGAGCTGAGCGTCCGAATTTGACGACCTTGGTCTTATTTCGATTGATTTCCAGGCCTCGGGCACGTAGCCAGGTAGAAATCCTCGGTAGTACAGAGCGAAGCCCATTCAGGTTGGGGTGGGCGATCACAATGTCGTCCGCGTAATAAGCTACGAATATTAACGATGTTACGTTACGACGACTCTGACTAACGTTGGAGGAGAAAGAATACGCAAGAATTGTCGGTAAACTCCGAGGCGGTTCCCCTGGATCGGGACGGTAGCGTGCAACGCGGCGTCCGACGATCGCGGTTAGATCGAGAGTGGCTCGCTCCTCAGTCCCCGGAGACCGGCACGATCTCCGGGAAAGGAGGAACGGAGAAGAGAGGGAGAGGGAGCCGCCTGGAGAGGTTTATTGATGAACGTGCAGTGTGCACCTGTGCATTTATCTAACCCAGCGGTTCCCAACCTGGGAGCCGCGGGACTTTTCTGGGGGAGCCGCCGAACCTGGTAGCCGCGGCTCCCCTAGGAGCCGCGAGGCTTTTCTGGGGGAGCCGCGGACGAATTTCTGGTGTAGGTCCGGGCCGTCAGGGTTTGTCAATTCCAAGGGAAGGTTCCGAAACGGATCGACGGTTGTGTTCCCGCCATTCCGTTCAACTCTATCGAGGAGTGAACGAAGCTTAAATTAAATCTCACTCGCTTTCACACCACCGCACGGAGCACCTTTTGTTTCCTTGTGTCTTCCCCGCAGAGAACACTTCATCCACCACTAAGCTTTTTCCCGTGAGCTTCGAGAAGCTCAACTCTTCTCTTCCGTCGAGAGAGATTGGACTCATTTGTTAGAGAGCTCTGGTATGCCCGCGAGGCTACCTTTTCCAGCCAGGAGCTGCTTGTCTCCGGAGATTCCCATTCAGTCTTTTTAACGGGGAATTGACGGGAGGGAGGCGGAATATTTGTGAACAATATATGTACTTGCAAGTTATGAGTGCCGGAATTGAGCTGCGAATGGTCCTTTTAGGGGAAAAAGAAGGGAGAGTAGGTAGGAGCCGCGGGAGCCGCGTGGGCACTGGGTATCCTGGGAGCCGCGGGAGCCGCGTGGGCACTGGGATCCTGGGAGCCGCGGGGGAATTCTGGGTTCGCTAGGGAGCCGCGGAGCCAAAAAGGTTGGGAACCGCTGATCTAACCGATGATATCGGTGACAACGAAAGCTTTGGATTCGGACCTTATGAAATCTACAAGGTCGCGAATCAACAGTATGAATGCGAGACAACTGAGCGGGTTGCCCTGCGGAGTCCCGTCGTTTTGTGAGACACGGACCTTCTCGTGCTGTAACTGGATCTCAAGATGATCCTTCTCGAAAAAGCTGTCGATAATCTTCAGAGCCTGGCCTCCGACTCTAACGTCAGCGAAGCTCTGCAGCATCAAAGCCCTCGATGCTTCGTCGAACGCCTTGTTGCAGTCAATGAAGACTGCATAAATCTTTCCATGTGCCGATACGGTTCCCTCGACCTCGGGAAGGAAGTAGTGAATCGCGTCCAGCGTCCCGACCCCACGGCGAAAACCGAACTGCTCGCTAGGGAGCGACTCGTCGAGAAGTGGTTCCATCCTGGATATCAGAAGCTTGCAGAAAACTTTCTCGGAGTCTGGATTAACTCTCGCTGTATAGTACCAGATCGTCCGCAAACATCAGAGTTCTCACTTGCTTGTGACTTTCTTTTTCTCTTGACGTCTCTCGAACTCTCGAGCTTATCCGAGTGCCATGTCTACACAACACATTGACGAGAGCAGGGAGGATTTCCAAAGCCATCTCGACCATTAGCAGGGTCGAGTACCAGCAGGTTCTGCAATCCAGTATCACTTGCAACGCTTTGTTGTTGTAGTCGGGCCTCACCCTGGTTCTCCGAATTTCGTCCATCAGGACCGGTCATTTCCGGAAATCTCGAGCAACTCTTCCGAGACGCCCGAGCGCGTCACCGAGAATGACTGCTGTCAGCTCCGTATCTTCGTCACGTTCCGAATCTGACTCGGAGTCATCGATGGTCT